TCTTTGAGCAGTGAATAGCCCCTTCCTTCTTCCAAGTCTGTCTTAGTCTGGAAGCTCCACTGAAACCTGTCCACCATGGGTGACCCTGCTGGTGTTTGAAATACTGGTGGCATAGCTTTCAGCCTCACAGCAACATGCAAGCCTCCACAGTATGACAAACTGACAGACGAGTGGTACATAAGTTCTTATAAGTTTTTTTTTTTTTGATTGTTCCATCTCTAGTGAAAATTGTTCTGATATTTTGTGGGTTTTATAGTGGAATTGAAACACATTGGTAGAGCAGAGAGTTACAGTTGAAGAAGTGGTGGGGATTGAAATTCTCTGGGGGATGCCAACAGTTAACACTGCTGTCCAAAAGATAGGCAGTTCAGTCCACCCAGAGGCACCGTGGAAGAAATGCCTGGTGACCTACTTTGGAAAAATCAGCCTATGAAAATCCTATGGGGCATAGTTCTACTCGGACACACATGGGGTCACCATGAGTCAGACTTGACCTGGCAGCAAGTGGTTTTGGTTTGTGGTGTGTGTGTGGTGTTGTGTGCCATTGAGTCGGCCCCAACTCATAGCGACCCCTCCTTGGGTTTCCGAGGCAGTATCACTACGGAAGTAGATTGCCCCATCTTCCTTCCGAGGAGTGGGGTTTTGTTTTAGGACTTGCAAAACGGAATCAAAAGTGGAAGGACATTTCTGTCACCCACATGATTCATGCACATTCATCTCAACAAGAATTTCCACAAAATGATGGATAAGAGCTTAGGGTGAGATAGACACTGCTCTCTCAGCTGCCTGACCCTTGCCTTCACAACTGTCAGGGTTTGCAGTCACATCCCTACACAGAGACTTGCCAGGAGTGTCCCTGGTTCCATCCCAGGAGCTGGCCTTGGTGCTGGGCTTCTGCAGCCCTCAGTTGTAATTGGGGGTTGAGTTGTTCTTTGGCCAAGGACAGCACTTCAGAATGGAGAGCTGTAACAGGCTCTCAGCTCCAGTCTCCTGGCCACAGGTTCATCTACTTTCTTTCCTTCCTTTCCCCGTCACAATTTTTATAGATAAACCCTGAGCTAGAATTCTGCTCTATTCAGCATTCCACTATTATCAGAGCTAAAATGTCAACCTTTAATGTTGGCCTTGGCTAGATCTGAATATTTAAAAGAGGCTTCTTTTTAAACCTTTTCATGCTTTGCTATTTGGGCTACCCCCTGCCCCAGAGATTTAGAAAAAAATCATCTCGGTTTTGTCTTCCTTCCTAGTGTTCACTGGCCTGCCACTTTCCCCCTGACATTTCCTTTACATAGTGCTGTTATTCCAAACTGATGACCACAGAGGCCTTCTCAATAACATCGAGACAAAGCACTCTGCATAGCTGATAAATTATAAGCAGGCACCGTGTGTTCGCTTGATGGATTGTAAGAGTGAATATGTGTGAATCATGGGTGTTATTTTTGGTCAAAAGAATTGTGTGAACTTTTCTCCTCTATTTTGAGTGCTTTGAAACATGACTTCGCCCCTCTCCCTATAAGGTGGATGTCAAGGAATTAGGCACCCTATCAGAATAGTCATTTTCTGGTTTTCAAAATGACTGTTGTGGAGTTGAGGAGGTGGAGGACAGAACAGAAAAGAATTGTGTGTTGACACCTAATCCAGCCTGTTCAATGTAAAAGAAAATTGCAATCGCCTGCTCCAAAGTGGGGGTGCCTCCCCCACTTCCTCACCCCATCCCACCCCCTGGGGTCCATTTGAGACCTGGGGTAAATTTACTGTGAGATTTCCTGGTGACAGTGTGATTTTAATTGACCATTGTTTTGTGAGAGTGTAATTTGCTCGGTTTTATTTTGCTGGATTTCTTTTCATCCAGGCTGCAGAGTAAATAATGTTTGATAATCAGATTGCTGGGTCTCTGAATTGCTGTTTCATACACCAGCCCTGATTCATTGACTTGCTGCCTCCCCTGGGCCAGTATCCAAACACCTGGGATGGCTTTGAGCTCGGTGCTATTCAAGTGCCGCACAAGGCCAAGGCCAAGGTGGGGATTGCTTGTTTCTGGTCCACAAGGAGATAGGGACAGAAACTGAGATTAAGTGTCAGAGACTTTTATAGCAACCTTGCAGCATGATTTTATGTCTGATGCATCTAATCAACCATTTTTTTTTTTTTTACTTCATTTTTATCATATTTTACAAAAGTATCCATCTGTGATGGTCTTTCGCCACTGATGGTAGATTGAATTGTAGGAGTACTCCAACCGAATTCACTGCCATCAAGTCAATTCTGACTCATAATGACTCCCATTGGGCTTCCAAGGCTGTAAATCTTTACAGAGGTAGACTGCCTCATCTTCCTTCCACAGAGCAGCCGGCGGGCTTGAACTGCCAACCTTTGGTTAGCAGCCAAATGCCTTAACCACTACACCACCACAGCTCCTTGTAGAAGTACGTTTGTTGTTAGGTGCCGTCGAGTCGACTCCAACTCATAGCGACCCTAGTACAACAGAATGAAACACTGCCCAGTCCTGTGCCAGCCCCACGATCCTTGCTATACCTGAGTCCATCGTTGCAGCCACTGTGTCAATCCATCTCGTTAAGGGCCTTCCCCTGTTTTGTTGATCCTCCACTTTATCAAGCATGATATCCTTCTCCAGAGAATGGTCCCTTCTGACAATATGACATGAGTATGAAGGTGGGGCAAAAGGGTAAGTGAAAGGTTAGCAGTTCAAACCCACCTGAAAGTGGCTTGAAAGAAAAGGCCTTCTGAAAGGTCACAGCCTATGGAGTGCACTTCTCTGCACACATGAGGCCACCATTTGTGGTACTCTACTCAACAACATTGGGTTGGTTTGTTTTTTGGTTTAGATTGACTTGTACTCAAGGGTAGATTACTCAGTAAACAAGGTTAAGTGTGGGCTTACTTGTGCTTACTTACTAATCTGTAGTAAACAGTTTCACAGGGTAAGCTAGTGCTTACCTTGTTTCCCGGATCTCCGTCCCTGTCAGGAATTATAAATTTGAAAAGAGCCTTTGATTCTGTAGGAGTATACTGTTGGGTCGGGAGAGAGACAGATATCAGCCGTACTTAGAAACCAAATCTTTGATGTGGTTAAAAAAAAAAAAAAAAAGTGAAATTGTTCACTACAGATTAGTCAGTAAGCACAAGTGAGCCCATACTTACCTTGCTTATTGGATAACCCAACACTGGACTGGTTTAGCTACTGCAGTTACATTGGTTGGCGAATGTCAGGGTGTCCCCACCAACCTGAGGAGCACAAGCCATTATTGGTTCAAAAGGGGAAGCTTAGAGAACTGGGGAATTTTATTTTATTTTGCTTTTGTTAAGTTTTCACTACTGATCTTACAGAAATGTTTTTTTCCCAGGTTTTCTGCTGACATTTTAGAGAGGGTGAATTTTGCAATGTCTCCTGCAGATGGGGATGCTGAGGCTAGGCTGATTTTGGCAGGTGGCTTCAGGCTTCAGGGAGGCTACCTTTTGCTCTGAAGAGCCAACATTGGCCTCCTCAATCCAGCCTCATGGCCCATCCCTCCATCCTTTAGGGAGGGATTGTGCTTGCTGCCGTGGGGCCGACGGGACCCATGGGCTAATGTCTGGAGATGTTCTGGAGTTCCATGGGGTAAATCCAGAGGTGGTCAACCTTGTTCTAAGGAAAGAGAACTGCTGGTGGAGGGGAGGAACCAGGAGACAGAGATTCAAACTGAATCATCTCCCAACTTCACCGCAGCCCTCACAGTCAGACTCCACTGGGGCCTTGCATGCTACCCTGGAAGTTTTGAGTTGTGATGGGGGACAGGGGACAGAGTGAAGGCACTGCCTTTCCCCCAGCCTGGAGTGCTCGCCCAGTGGATGCTCACAAGGCTCAGTTCATTCTCTCACCTTTCTCAAGCGTGACCTTCTCCCTGCATCCTTCTATGCCCCTTTCCCCGGTGAGTTCTGTCTCCTTTGCCTGCTTTACTTTTTCCCATAGCCTTCACCAGCTCCATGCTCAGTCATTGCTCATTTTACTGTTTGTTCCCACCTCCCACTATTATGTAAGTTTTACCAGACAAGACGTCTTGTCTGTATTGTTCACTGCTCCATCTCCAGGGCCTGGCATATGGTTATTACTGTAGTCGTTAGCTGTCTAGTCAGCCCCCGGCTTATGGCAGCCCCCCGGCACAATGGAACGAAACCCTGCCCAGTACCGCATCTTCCCATAATCCGTTTCGGATCTGATTGCTGAGATCCTTAGGGTTTTTTCATTGGTTGATCTTCAGAAGTAGATCCCCAGGTCTTTCCTCCTAGTCCATCTTACTCTAGAAGTTCTGCTGGAACCTGTTCAGCATCATAGTAACATACAGGCTTCCACTGAAGGAGGGCTGGCTACATTGCTTCAGGTGCGCTGGCCAGGAGCCAAGCGCGGTTGTGGAGGGAAAAAGGATGTGAGAAGCCAATCCAGGAGATCGTTGAATACCTCTAGATGCTGACCTCTGACACTGGCACACTTCACTCATTTCTTCTTTGGCTCCTTCAGGAATTGTGATCAAAATTTTGTGTACTGAGGGAGCAAAGAAAAGCTCATAAAATAAGGTGTACTTGAGAGGGGGGAAAAAAAAAAACTATCTAAAACAAGATGTTGTCCCTATATTGTTGGTATAAATTTTGTAATTGAATTGTGTCCACTTTTAGAAGTTTTAGTGATGAGCACTTAAAAAAACAAAAAAGCCAACTACAACAAACTCCCCTATTATATGTCCATGTGCCCTCTGAGTCATTCCAGAAACAGAGAACATCCCGAAATGGAGGTCCGTCACAGCCAACTTCATTTCCCCCCATGCAGTTGTGGCAGCATTACTTACACACTCACTGCAGTGGTGTTTCATATGTGCATATTTACTCTAATGCCTTTTGTGTAGCTCAGCTGGGCTTGGACGCCAGCCTCCATAAGCCCAATAAAGCCCCGCGTGTATGCACGCCTCTGTTTCTGATTGTGTTTCATAATGTGTTGATATTTCCAGGCTAATCTTGCACAACTATTGCGAGATTCTCAGGACCGAAATAAACATCTGGGAGAAGAAATTAAAGAACTTCAGCAGAGACTTGGAGAAGTCCAGGGCGACAATAAGGTACCGTGAATATTTAAAGGCAAGAAGCTCTCTGTGTAATTGTGCACCAGGGGTTTCTGTTTAGCACATCAGAATAATGGAACACAGCACCCGCTGAAAATTTGTTACAGATTTTTACATTTGCAATGAAAATTCACAGTTTAGCATTTCTTATCTTTATTACATTCCCTTTGTGTGTGCGCACATGTGTTTGTGTTTTTGGGTTGCTGTAAAATATTGTCACAACCTATTGTGGAAGTTTCATTATGTTCAGGTTGGTGGCGAATAACATTGTAGTTGAGGGCAAAATAAAACCCAAATGCTACGCTTTTCCCTTCTATGCAAATAATGGATTTGTGGCTCAGCTGATTTGGAATTATTCACATTCGGTTCTGAATTTTAAGTAGTCATCCTACTAATTATGTTCACATAACCAATTTATTTTATTGCTAAATTTGGCAATTTGTATGGAACATTGCTCAAAATCCACTGCTTGGTATTAATCAAACTCCCCTGTTGGCAACGTTAATTATAAAATATGAACTCATAAACTCCAAACTAAATGTGTGCACTCTCACTCCCAGCTGAAGCTGTGAACAAAAGTACCACTGAGAAAGGGAAGAAAAACTGCTGAAGTTTAATTCTGTCCCCAAAATAATTTCCCGCTTTGCCAAGATAGATTCATTTTCAACTCCTTGCCAGAGGCAGATTTTGCAACGGAGATGGTGTTGGAGTTTGACTCAGAAAAGACTATGTGAAGCAAAAGGGGGACTTTGTGGAGAAATGTCTTTTAGGTGTTACCAAATTCCTTGACAAATGATGTGGCATTTGTTGTTGCTGGGAGGCTGTTGGATATCGGAAGACACCATTCTGAAAGACGCTCCCTCTTTGAAAAATGCACGCTAGTGTCGGTCATTCAGCAAACGCTTCCATGACAAAGCCTCACAGAGGGACCCTGTGCATAATACTGATTTGACAGGCCGCATCTGGGAGCAGAAATTACCATCAAGTCAGCCCCAACTCATAGGGACCCCATGTGGCTCAGAGCAGAACTGTGCTCCACAGGTTTTGAGTGGCTGATTTTTTGGAAGCAGAGGGCTAAGCCTTTCTTTCAGGGCACTTCTAGGCAGTCTTGAACCTCCAACCTTTCCGTTAGCAGCCCAGTGCTTAACCGATTGCACCACCCAGAGACTCTTGAAGGCGTGTACTTAGCTAGGAAGCCCTCCTTAAGAAGTTTCTTCTCTTTTCTCTTTCTCCGCCTTAATTTTTTTTTTAAACCTCTTGGATTTAACATAAATTTGAAAAATTAGCCTCCACTATTCTCTATCATGAAATAGAAGATGGGAGAAAATGCCCAGGAAAGGGTCTAATTAACACTGGACAAGCTAATCAGGCCACTAGTGTAGTTTTATGTGTCATTAGGAGGATTTAAGATCTGGTAGCCTAGGTGTTTGGTCAATAATTAAAGGCCAGACTTTCTTAGTCGCTTCCTTGAGTGATAACAGCAGAGTTTTCTAGAGAATAAGATGAAATGTGTACGGTAGATGTCTTTAAACCCACAACGTACTAGAGGATTTTAGAGATAGTTTAAACCCACAAAATACTGAGGACATTTGGAAGATGTGATGTTTGGAATCATGGTTCTATGATCCTTCTCGACTGACTGATTTTTTTTTTTTCTATTTCTTTTTTTCCCCAAGTTACACTCCTTGCCTTTCCCATCAATTTTCCTAAGTACACATCTGCCTAACCTCTCCACTGTTAATTTTCTTACCTTTTTCGTTGTTGTGGAATTTGCTGCTCTTAGTTGCTGTTGGTTGCCTCATGGCAACCTTATGTATAACAGAAGAAACATTGTCTGGTCCTGTGCCAATTCCCTGACCTTCAGTATATTTGAGCCTATTCTTACAGCTGCTGTGTCAATGTGGAATGTCGTGTGCCGGAGAGTCACTTCCAGCTCATAGCGATCCTACAGGACAGAGTGGAACTGCCCCCACAGTGTTTGCTAGGCTGAAGTCCTTATGGGAACAGATCACCATGCCTTTCTCCGTGGAGCCACTGTTGTTGTTAGGTGCCGTCAAGTCGACTCCAACTCGTAGTAAAGCTATGTACAACAGAACGAAATAGTCAGACTGCCAACCTTCAGATTAACAGCTGAGCCTACATTGTTTTCCCGTGGAGTGGCTGGAAGGTTCAAATTACCAACTTTTCAGTTAGCAGCTGAGCACTTAACCTCTGTGCCACAAGGGCTCCTTCAATCCAGAACAGTCATGAGGTATTTTAGGAACGGATGTTGTAGTTGATGTCTCAAAGAAAGAAATAGAGTGTATGTGTGTGCACGTGTGTGCTTGTGTGCACATGTATATGTGTTTGTGTGTGTGTGTGTGTAACATGAAGCACCAGAGGGGCGCTTTGTTTGCATTGTGACAGTCTGAAGTTCTGGATTTGCCTGCACTCCAGGTCTTTATTCTAGTAACTGCTCACATTCACCAAACTTTGCTTTCTCACCCAAGGTTTGGAACCTAGTGACTCATGTTCTTGGTCCCATGTTCTTGGTCTGCAGTGCAGGGAGGATGTGATAATGTTCAACAGACCCCAAATCTCAGGATCTGGCCTCTCCCCCTCAAAACAGACCAATTGCGCAGGGCCCCAGAGAGTCCATTTATTGTTATCTGCATCTGAAGTTAAAGGCTTGGTTTATTTTCAGCCCCCTGTGAGTCACAGTCATCCTCCCCACCCCCAATCCTCACCATTAAGGCCAGATCGCTCATTTGATAGTGACATCAGGAGCCTTAGAAACTGAGCCCATAGTAGTGTGGGGAACAGGTTAACCATTCATTTCTTTGATTTATTGTGTCACGTGCTGCCCCAACCCTTCTCACCCTCTGGATCCAGTTCCACTCCCTTGCCATGATGTGCTAGGCTTTGAATTTCTCCCAGCGCAGCCACCTCATACCTGTCCCTATAGTACTAATCTCAGTCCCTTTTGCTGCCCTACGCTGCCTTATGTCTCAGGGTGTTTGTACATGCTGTCTCCTCTGTCTGGAACATTCTTTCTCCTTAGCCTCCCTGCAAATTCCTCCTCATCTTTCAGGCCATTTGTTACTTAGTTTCCCAGTGCTGCTATAACAGAAGTGCCAACAGTGGGGGCTTTAAAGGACAGAAATTGTTTTCTCATGGTTTTGGAGCCTAGAAGTCCAGATCAGAGTCTCAGCCTTGTCAATTCCTTCCTTGCCAGTAGCCCTGGCATTCCTAGGTTCTTGGCAGTCCTCACATGGCATCTGTCTTCCCCTTTTGTTTACTTCTGTGTTGAATCTGCTTTTTCACTTTTTTGATTACTCAGAAGTGATTTGGTTTAGGACACATCCTGCACTGATATGGCCTCATTAACATAACAAACAAAACTCTATTTCCAGATGGGTTACATCTACAAGTATAGGGTTTAGGATGCCAACACATGTATGTTGTTGTTGTTATGTGCTGTCGAGTCAGACCTGACTCATAGCAACCCCTCCTTGGGTTTCCGAGGAAGTATAACTATGGAAGTAGATTTCCCAACCTTCCTTCCGAGGAGTGGCTGGTGGGTTTGAACTGCCAGCCTTCTGGTTAACAGTCAAGGGCCTTAGGCACTACACTACCAGAGCAATTCAGCGTAACAGTTCCTTTATCCAGGAAGCCTTCTCCCACTCCTAGAGAAAGGTGCCAGTCCTGTGCGCATCCACAGTGCCCCACTCTGTGCCTTCTATTTGCACTTATGTGGTGCCCCAACCCCCCAGTGTGCCCTCTGTGCCATCAGAAGTTCTGTCTTGTATATCACTCCATCACTAGGAATTACCATTCTTAGTTCCTGATATGTAGGCATCATTTAATGAATCTTTATTGATGGCATAGGATGGAATTGAATGAGTGAGTGAATGAAGGGAATGAAAAGAAGAGCAAGAGTGTTCATGAAAGAGCAAGAAAAAATAAGTGAAACAATAGAAGAAAAGAAGCTGACTGCCTGGCATCCTTTGGTATCAGTCATCCTTCTCATGGGCAGAGGAGAAGTTTAGGAATTTGGAGAAAGAAGATAGGAAAGCAGAAAAAAGAAAATGGGGGAAAAAAAAAAAAAAGCAAAGACCCCAACAAACCAAGGTGTGGGATCTTAGGAAGCCTTGGTAGAGAGCAGAGGGCCTGAAGCTGAGCCTTGGTGGACAATGATGGCAATGATGTCACTTTGAAGACTAAGGTGCTTCTGATCTAAGTTATGTTATTTTCAGTCACCTCATATGCATGCAAAAGCTGAACAATTATAAGGAAGACCAGAGAAGAAATGACACCTTTGAATTAGGAATATTGACTATACCATGGATTGCCAGAAAAATAAACAAATCTTGGAAGAAGTACAGCCAGAATGTTCCTTAGAAGTGAGGACAGCAAGACTTTGTCTCACCTACTTTGGTCATGTTCTCAGGAGGGACCAGTCCCTGGAGAAGGACAGCATGCTTGATAAAGCAGAGGCTCAGCAAAAAAAGAAGAAGACAACAAGATGGATTGACCCAGTGGCTGCAACAGTGAACTCAAACATGGCAACTGATGTGAAGATTGTGCAGGGCCGGGCAGTGTTTCGTTCTGTTGTCCGTAGGGTTGCTATGATTCAGACCAACTCAAAAGCACCTAACAACAACATCAACCTGCTCATTGGCTGGTTCAAGCCTGTTCAGTTCAAGGATGCTTAATAATTGTTGCATAGACTCCTGACTCCCATTGTAAGCAGAAAGGCTCATGGCATATTTTATGAGCGATTATTAAAGGGAAAGGTTTTTATTTCCTAGCTGCCATTTTAAGTGATGACCCTTATCCATATTTTGAGAAGTCCAGATTCTAGTTGTTAAGTGTATTAAAGAAACAAGGTGATAGGAAATGACTTGCCTTGGATATTTTAAGGTAGACTAATTTTCCCATTTGTTCAGCTACAGCCTCTTGAAAGATTTGTTGCCACCGTGGCTTATAAGCAGCTTAGCTCTCACATGGGGGGTGGG